GTCAGCGCCATGCCATCCACTTCCATCATAATTTCAGCGAGTGTACCTCTTTCAGGCGCGCAGGCGGTTGCGCAGTTTGAACATGGTTGAACTTTCAAGCACTGGTGGTCAACTCCCTCGGAGCAAACTCTGTTCGCCGCTTGATGACTGTCTCGGAGGAAGGTGTTGGAAGTTTGTGGTTTAAATATCTCTCCCTTCTACCAGTAGCACAGCTGGCGCAAGCATTGCTCGACCAACAGAAATCCTACAGAATCCGAGGCCACTTGTGGGTGATTGACTGCGACGCTTCTTCACTCCACCTCTCCTTCGTTCTGGGTGGGAAGGCGCGTGGTCACTCCTCGGCTTCACATCGTCGCGACCTCCAAAACGGCCGAGCGCGCGCATGTGGTGGCGTTGGTTTCGAGCGAGGATTTTGAGCTGGAGGGTGACGACTTGATCCTGGAGCGTCAGGGAAATCTTTGTCTCCTGGGCTCCTGGGCGATAGGTGAGAAGATATGAGAAGATGCTGGATGGGCAGGTCAAGGTCCTTTTGTGAGGTGTTTAGGAGGCGAGTTGGAGAGCATGAGTCTGGATGTTCCAGGATCTTGAGCATTGATCAACCTTGCAGAAGAAGCATGAACACCTATAACAGTGGTCAGGGGTCAACTTGCTGCCACCGCTGTTCCAATGGTTGTAGTATTCTTTGATCGGGTGTCACGTTGCGCTTGTTGAAATCCTTTCTTTGAGGCTTGCAATCATCAGAGGGCCAGGAACTCAGACTTATGACTGAGACTTACAGGATCTTACAGGCATTTGGTAGAAAGTGGGTTGGCCTTTTTGGTCTGTGGGATAGGGGAAGGGGTTGAAATTGATTGCCAGAATATACAGTATCTTAATTGCCACGTGCATGTCTACATGTACATGGTGAAGCAAATTGCAGAAATTGCAGAAGCTGTGTAGAAACAACTGCCGCATTTGTTGAAGTCGTAGCTCGGGAAAATGCCTTCGTCGTCGCAGAGTCCGACCACAACCCTGTACAACCCTGTACCATCCAACAAAATGCACTGGAACCAAACATGAAAGGACCATAGAGACCGGGGGCGCGCGCCGCCGAGCGCGAGGTTTTTCACCGTTCTGGGTGCTTGGCAATGACACTTGGCTCGTCGATCGGGGTGCGGGAAGAGACGGCTGAAGTGAATGGGTCATGGTGAGTCATGGCTGGGAGCCTAGAACTTGCAGATCAGTCCTAACTTGCCACGCAAGTCCATCCAATATTCCACTGTGTTGCAATGTCTTTTTGGGAGAAGCACTTCGGTAACGTTCTTAGAGGCTCATCATGAGGCATTTTGAATTTTTTAGTTCAATGGATGTAGGGGACCCTCATGACGTTTCAACATTGCAATGTCGGGTACGCAGCACCAAAACCATGTTGACCATGGTGCATCGTTCTTTCTGCAACCTTTTCACCATCGAGAAACATGATGATCCCCATGGGGTCCCAGTGAAAGGGGCCCAATGTTTCTAGGTCTTCATGCGGAAGTTCTACGTGCAGTTTGACTGGAAGAACCGTCAAATTGGCCTGGCGACGGCCAAGCAGCCGGATCCCCTTCGGGTGCCGCAGCTGCAGCGAGGTGAACAGGGTCCCAAAGACCTGTCTATCCATGGATTGAGGGTGTCCCTATTCATGAAAATACATGGCCCACATATAATCCACATATGCCCACATTGATTCTCAATGCAACATTATTGACTGTAACATAAGTTTTGGGAGAGCAACCTGGCCAGTGGCACTGATGTTAAGTATTTCCACAGCATAGCTGCAGCATTGTCAGAATCGTACAATTGACATCAATTGACCAAGTACTTGTGTGAACTGGGGATTGGATGGGATTGGTATTATTTCAAGCGAACATAGCATACAAATAAGCAATTAGGAGAAATCAGAATAGGGATGCCCATTTGTTCAAAGGACCATTCTTCAAAGCTGCACTGTCATCCAACTTTCAGATCCTGTCCTTTCTACCCATCTTCACCCATCTTCAGCAGTTGCCAGTGAAAAAACCAGATCTCGGACCGCCCCTTTCGGACCGCCCGCTTTCGCCCCCGAGGTTTGAGCGCTTGAACCGGTTTGACCCGCGGCGTCGAGACGTCGAGAGGCGGTTGGTTACCGTATGGACCACGGGCGCAACGGTTGGGTTTGGTGAGCTGAAACACTTGGTCCCTGGTCCATCGGTCCGAAGCCAACGGGGTTTCTACCTGTTCCCATGATTTGGTGGGAGGAGTCAAGGCTTTGAACGCACCTGTTTCGGTTTCACCTGGTGTCCGTTAGCCCAGAAGTGAATCGCGGCCGCTTCCGCCGCCGCAAAACACCCCTGTTTCAGCACCGGCATGGGCGTCCAGACCCCGCCACGCCGGAACGTCTTCAGCTGCACAAGCACACAGCTCCGTGACCAGACGGACGCGTTTGGTTCCTTTTTTTAAGTACAAGCCTTCGGGGGCCAAGCCCAGCAGATGGAGTTTCGAAGACAAACATCATGTTCACTTCGATCTGATGAGCTGGGGGAAGAAGTTCGCCCACTTGTTTAGGCCACTTGTTTTGTTTGCCTATCGGGCATCGTTTGTAGATATATAATATATATATATATATTGTAATTAGATGTAGCGATTTTGCTCCTGGTTATTGTACTTGAAAGTTGATGCTTCACGGCTGCAGCAGGACATACTTACTAGAATTAATTACTCGTACAAGCATGGCTGCGACAGTTGCAACTACTGACTGTCAACAGAACAACTCCAGCACGAGATTCATGGTGAGTGCTCACTATTCCCAAACACTACTCCTCGATGAATATGATCTACATTCACCCTAAAACCACTCAAAGGTAGGTCATAGATTTGCTTTATACATGGAGTGTTGATGATCTTCACTGTTTGGGGATTTTCACAGAAGGGCTTTTCTGAGATGAGACATCTTCACCGGAGAAGCCGTTGACAGGGTTTACCTCAACACCCGTGTTTACTGCGTACCGAAAAACGAATGTTGTTGGAGCAGCCCGGAAAGAACCGAGGAAAAGCTGATCCGCTTCGAGATCCCTAAAGCATCCATGTTAACATCGACGGACTTGTTATTTGCATTGCGCAGACAAGGTTTTTGGGACATCATGGCGCCCTTCGTAGAGGAGAGGAGTCTTCCCAGAGGCGCTTTTCCACTGCCATGTTAAAGAGTTTGCGTGTACGTACCCCACTTAGCTTAGTGACAGCACAGCCAAAGCACCCCTCCAAAGTAGAAGGGAGAACAGGCCGTTCTTGCTTGGGGTTCGCAGGAGTTACAGTGAGGATTTGCCCACCTCCATCATTCAACAGGCCTTGAGAGTGGTTGACCTTTGTCAACTGAAGGGCAAGGGGTTCGCAAGTCAGCAGCATTTTGGTTCTTTTTTTTGGATTCCAGTTCTCCAACAAAGAACTTTTTGTCGAGCAATTTCCTGCTTCATTGACTTCCAACATCTGCTGGGCAATTTCCTGCCCACGGATCGGCGCGGCCGCAGTTTTTTAGAGCCCTTTCTAGGGCTGGCGAGGCCTTGAACGCCACAAACTGGCGGAAGTGAGATGAAGATGAGATGTCTATTTTTGCCAAGGCTGTCCATCAGGAGTTTCGTTGGTTTGCTTTCCAATCGGAGGGGTATCAGACGTGCATCCAGGGTGAAGATGGTAGTGGAATGCAACCTTGGTTTTTCCGTCAAAGCCTTTTGGGAGTGCGGTGACAATTGAGGCGGTCGATTTGGGCTATTTAGGAGGCTGGGCCGCCGACCCCCGAGAGGGTTCGGTGAGCTGGGGCCTGATGGTGGTCATGGTTTGTTCACGCGCGGTGCACGTGGAGTTGATGCTCGCATCCACAAAGTGTCATGAACGTGGATTCAAGGAACATGTGGTTTGTAAGCGTCATTAAGATGCACATGCACATGCAAACAAGCTTGGTTTGAAAACGATCACTGTGCAGTGCAAACCCTAATTTATCAGTGCCACTTACATACCTCCCTGCCTTCAGAGAGTATAGATTTTACATCCACCCGTGGCAACGGATTCAAAGCGCAAACTCAAAGACAGGCGTGAAGCCAGCAGCTTGAGGAGTTTGTGTTTTTTCAAAGGACCCCCCCTCAAAGCGACGTATCTCAACAAAACGGGAGCCAGAGGATGCCAGAGGCATCAAGTTGCCCTGCCCAAAGTGCTGTGTTGGACTCCGGACCGTCCCCAGTCACTCTTGAAGCCGGACTACTCCGTTTCAACAAACATATGATGCGTCGATCAAGCTTCGATGCTTCCGGAAACATCCAGCACGGACCCCGCGCGCGCCTCCGTTAACCATGTCTCCTAGTCTTTGAGGCGCGCCCGCGGAGGCCCATGGGGTTTTCGGTTCTTGGGCGCGCGCCTGAGAGCGCACCACAGCATGTGCGTGGCCTCATGCCCGAATCCGAAGGGGTGAAGGGGGTAGAACCCCAGGCAAAATCCTGAACAGCCGTTTTCCCACGAAAAACTCTTGACGGTCAGCGACGAATCTAGTTCATGGCAATGTGACGGAGAACCGGCATCGTCCACCGCTCACCGGAGAGTCCCTCTCAGGAACATGCCGCTCCAGCTCCGCTCACGTTCATGGTCCTAGGTCGGCGAATTTCGGGGTACTGGATTCCGTCCGGGCGAACAAAAGCACAGCCCGGAGGCTGGCGGACCCAACAGAAAGACTCGTTTCTTGCAGCTTCACCTTACGTCAAAGATGGCCTCACCGGCCAACGAATTTGAAGTTCACGCGCTCCACTAGCTCACAGGGCTATTGGGTGGCATGGTAGTTTCCTGTTCTCTTCGCTAGCTTCTCTGTTAGGCGGAGAAAGTTCGTTCGATTTCAAGTGAGCACAAGCCCAAGCTTTGCGCACGTTATGCGCGCTGAAGTTGTCCCGCAGGGTCTTAGCGAGATGAGATGTGACATGTGATTAATAGAAGATAAAAATTCGACACATTAGTTGCAAAATGGACAGTCTATTCAATGGTTGCGGTGGTCGCACTGATACCTCGTTTGTCCAAAGCTGACCGTGACAGTATTCACACTTACATTTCCCACTCATTGCTTAGAACCACTGCGGGTATTTGCATCAGAATAACTGCACACGCCGAATTGGATTGCGGTAACAGGACTTGCTCTGATGATTTTATTCCAGAAGCTGGTCTCGGCCCCGTCAAACTGCACATTGATTCAAAGGCTGAGAAAGGAGAACTTGGCGCCCAGGGTAAACCCGGGTCGTTTGATGTTGAAAAACGACACATAATTAAGATTTGTGTGTGTGTTTGTTTGATATGTTGCAGGCAACATTGTTTCTACATAGCAATGTTTTGCCTCTTGTTGGCAGACAGAAGAGGAAATTGACAGATTTGGATGTAGGTCAAGAGGTCAAGACCTCACCCTACAAACCATGGATATTTTTTTCGTTTAAAATTTTATTTCGCCATCCATGCGACCATGCGATGCATATCACCAGAGTGCGGTGCATGGTAAGTAGTGCATTTGTCGCTTGTTTTTTGCCGTGCGATCATTGAGTGTGCTGTATTGAAGGCCTTCTCTGATGTGTGTTTCAATTGTCAGGTAGTATCGGTTCCATTCTGGTGTACAAAACCCCCGTCGGTACCCAGTCCTTGAACAAGGGGCGGTAAGGGGCGGAAAATGCAGAGAGGATTGGATGGAGTCCGCAAACACAGTACCCTACAAACCATGGAAGGCTGACATTCCCTCTCGAAAAAATTATTCAAGGCTGACCCGAAATCACCCGGGATCAACTGGGGTGAACCATTGTGTCCGGGGGTTTTGTTGACTCGCAGAACTATGATGAACTATGAATTACATGTGGTTTGAAGCTTGAGATTCGTCGGCTGTTTGTGTCCTTGGCAGTGAAAGTCTGTGCTTCTTCGTTTTGGCGCTAGTCACTCGCGGCTTCAAATGATGACATGAAGAAAGATTTGTGCGTGGCATAGCCGGCTACGGTGATGCTGAAGCCACATAAACGTGTCCTGAGCCGAGTCAAGACCTAGCGGCACATGCAGATTCACAGTACCATCTTGATGACTGAGACTGAAATGTGATGACTGTGATGATTTGTGCGTGACCGAGTCTTACAAACTTGCGGAACAGTGACAGGCGAACCATCCGATGGTTCGCCTCTCTTCAGCTTTGCTCGAGGGCAGAGCATGAGAGCATTGGCCAAGAGATTGAATGTGTTGAAGGCTTAGTGAGCATAACCTGGGGATTTGGACATCCATGCTTTGACTTTGACCAACTACTCCATGATTCATGGCTTGCAAAGTTGATGACTTTCGGGGACAAGGAGCTCTAGATGAAGCTCTAGATGAAGCTTGACCAGCTGTTTGGTCTGCTCCAGAGTGTTTCCCCGTATTTGGATGCTCCGGAGACCTCTCGAGCTCCACACGTCCACACCGCTTCGCTCCGGGCGGTTTCACGGTGGATCCACCGGGCCTCCGTGGCGTCGGTCGAAGCCTCCCAGGTCGAGCGAGAAGCTTTTCCTCGGAGGTCCATGTCGTGTCGGTCCCAGGGCATGGGCTGGTCGGGATTCGTTCAGACTTCGGGCCGAATTCCGTTCAGACTTTACGGTACTTCTTGGGAGTGTTCGTTCGATAGACTTACTCTGACATCATAGATTAGGGATGCTTGCGGTGCCTTTTGTAGGGTATCATTCTTGCTAGCTACTCGTATCTATATACTGCAATTGGATCCAATTAATTGGTATGTCGATGACCTTGACCGGGGCAACTCGGTGCAGTCGATGTCTCAATCAATTCGTCCAACATGATCACCCAAGACACACTGCCTAAAATGGACTGTCAACTACTGGACTTGAAACTCCTCACTTGGGCTTGGGGGACGGTATGTGCCCAGCGTAGTTTCTTTAGACACATGATACATACCAAGCACATCCAAGCACCTTAAATACAGTTGAAGGATGTTGAAGGACCCGTGTGATGGTTGAGTATGTGTTAAAGTTGCATCATTTCTTCCAGTTGGAGATTCACTTGCAGTGAAACTATTTTTTACTCTCATTTCATATCTTTTCATGAAACATGAATTCATGAATGATTCTTGTCACCCTTCACAGGCCCTTCACAGGCCCTTCGTGGGCGTGTGCCCTCACCCATGGTCCACAGGAGTTCCTGCATCGCTGTGCCACGGGCCCCGGGCGCCCGGCCGTGCTGTCCGGGACGCTCAGCGCTGTCTGTGGTACCTGTGGTACCGGGAAGGAGGAGGGTCTGGTGCTGGTGAGACGAAGGTTCAACAAAAATCTTAGGTCGAGTCGTGCCCTCGTATTGATGACTATTAACTTATTAAATGTATGTATATATATATATTTAGTAGTAATATGTGTAGTTATGGATAAATATTGTATATTTTACAATGGTTATAATTGTAATTCAAATCTACTCCTCATGGAAGCCCCCCCTGGTACACTCCGAGGAGGACATCTACCCTTTGGCGTTCTTTCGGATGGACGGTGTGTCGACGGTGATTTTGGCCGCTCCAGGTCCGACGCACGCCGTGTGAGTCAACCAACCAAGCGCGTGGACTCACCGGTGAGTCCACGCTGGGTTGGACTGGAGTCCGCAAAACGCTCCTTTCTTCCTTCCGAAGTGGTCAGACAGTTTTTTTTTTAATGTTTTTTTCGGATGGACTAGATTTGGTGCTGGTGGTTGGACTCCGGGAGCATGTATCATGTATTTGGGACGGGATATATATATATATATAATCTATGATATATGTATGTATATATATATATATAGCAAGTAAAAACTGGAAATGCTGTAAAGATCTACACAACCAAATCCTGGTAAAGCTATAAACCTCCATACAACCTAAGATATTCCAGGATAAAGTGAGTTGAATGAGTTGGGGAGCTACAAGTTCTGGAGCCTCCTGCTCCGCTGGTGTGCGACTAGCGATGTGAGATGCTTCTGAAATACTTCAAGAACATGTCTCAGGAAGTATTTGGGTTGCCTGCCGGCTTGGTGTCAAACTATATATCTTTCAATTAAGGTTGCTCTAAGAGGATGTGTTTTTTCCCTTTGAACGGTTTTGCTGAGGACCTTTGATTTTTTCAACATGCTGTCGCTCCACCGTGCCCCGTTCTTCGGCTCACTAGGCATGGCGTTCCCGAGCAAGACCACTGGCCCGCCTTGGGAAAATGGCAAAACCAGGTGCCAAGGGAACGCACCGAGCGGTGCCGCGTGCGTTGGGCAAAGTGTTCCAGTTACACAGGTTTGGTCAGAATGTCAGTACGTAGATAGATTCAATGGGGAACCCGTACCGATTATAGTATATATTATGATATATTATACATGTTATCTTACAATATGCAAAAATAGAACACAATCACGTCATCATATATATATATATTATGTTGATTTATGTTGTATTATGTTGTTTTCTATTATATTTGGTCTTCTAGAGGGGCATGATTCCCCTGCGTGTTTCGACCATCTCGAAGCAATACTAAAAAGCATGGTGCCGGTGTTGAGGATCGCTTTAAAGGCATTGTCTTCGTCCAAGTTGAGAAGATGCAGAGCTGCGGATGGTCTAAGGTGATGTGAAAGAGAGCGCAGGAGTTCCAAACAGGTCCAAACAGTTCCAAGAATCTGAAACGATATGTAATTCCCATTTGCACCCTCTGTGTGGGGCCCAGGTGACTCTTTTCCAAGTCACATCACAGTCTTGAACACAGTCCGTGGACCAAGTGGACCCCATGCACTCCTCGGGCTTGCAGGTACTGGCAGGTACTGGCAGGTGGGACATGGCCTCGGAACCCTCAGAACGCACCCCTACCCCACCCCTACCTGGTTACGCCAGACACTCCATGTTTGATGTGTGCCTACATCGACTCCTGAAACCACCCCAATATATATATATATACATGGAGTGTTTGGGCACGTGTCACACGATGTGAGGCCAGCTTCCTCCAACATTATGGCCATTTGCATGTGCAAGTGACGGAGTCTGGGCCAAATGATCGAAAGATCTGGGGAAAAATGATCGAGGAAAAGCTTCTCGGTCAGGTCCAAGTTTGTGTTCAGGTTTTCCAATTTTTGCTCATTGCCTGCCAAGGGTTTTTGGGTGGGTCGCTGTAGGTTTCGCTGGCACTTGGTGTTCCGAACAAAAGAATAATAAAAAAAAACAATCTGTCATGATTCTGATTTGGGTTGAGGTCCAAAACGATTCCATTGGTGACAAGATATTTCACGCCTTTTGGCAGTGTCCACTGACAAGCTGTGACGACGTTGTGGCAAGTCCAGAATGTTCATCTTTCCAATGCTTTATATGTTTGCTGTATTTTGCACAGATACTCTGGGTCAAAGATTCGCCTGTCAGTCTCAGACAGTTTGCGTTTCGCTGAAGCTCGGCGGATGACATCCAAAAAAGCAAAAAAGCACACATGTCACTCAGACCCTTTCCTGGCTATTGCCTTTTCTTTTGTGAGGAAAAGACCACAGCGTTTCGTATTTCAGGAGGATATGGACGAAGACCGAGTTCATCAAATCATTCAAACACCCTCCACATGTTAAGTGTTACAATCCCCAAATGGCGGAAGGATGCGGGAGGTCTTAGTGTTTCCACCGTCCGTCCCGAGCCGTCAATCCCGAGCCGCCAACCGAGTCGGACCCGCTCGGGGTGTGTTTTTGTGGCAAGCGCCAAAGGGGGGGGCCGTCGCGGTTGGTGTTGATGTAGTGATCTTATCAGACGCAAAATGGGTGAAGTGGTTAAACATCAAAAGCATCATCGAAACCAGCCGCAGGGAGAGTTTTTCATGGCGGTTTCATGCGGTTTCTACCTTGTCACGGATGAAAACACATCGGGTGAGTTCCATGTGGTGAAAAATCTGGGTGCATTCTGAATTCTTTGACCTCGAGACTCGAGACCACGAAACCGATTGTTGAAGGAAATGGCCGCCCTGCACGGTTTGGGCAAGCCGATGCGTGTGGAGCCTTCGGCGGAACTGGGTGCAGGGCTGGGGGGGCGGTGTGGAACGCGAAGCCACATGAAGCCACGACGGATCCACGGTTTACGCGTTGGCGTTGGCGGGGCATAGGATGATCTACATGCGGACGTTGGGCACAGCGGGCCAAATCTTCACATCAAAGCGCCCAAAGCGCTTTTCGGGGAATAAAAGTGCCTGCTGGACAGCACTTGCTTCTCCAACCGGTCAGGATCTGTCCCTGAAATTTGCCATGGAAGAACTGATCTCCATTGTATAGATGGACCAATATACTTACACTTCTGAAATCATCCCATAAATATCGCAGTCGTCACACCCCGTTATCAACAATGATGCAAAGTTTGCTTTGCGTTGGGCCTTGAGGGGCGCGCCAGTTGTGAAGACAATTCAAGCCGATTCACAGTCACGCGGGCGCACTGTTCATGCATTATGTATGCAATTTCTAGTGATTCTATAAGGCATATATAGTAAGGCCCTGTAAGGCACATATATATAATATCAATATGTTGCATTTATATGTAATGTTTAATGCCTGAGCCAGGGCATGTACGGTTCCAGAAGTTTGTGCTTGAGCCTTTTAAGACATGAACACCGAGTTTCACCCGCGAATCCGGGCAAATGCCGATCCGAGGAGCTGTCACTGGAAGAGTATGCGGTCTACGCCCGCGACAACCAGGCACCCGCCAGACGAAGTGGTCAACATGTAGGCAAGCCCCTTTCTGGGGAAGAAGGGGTGGTCAAGGCATTGTCGCACTGGAAGCATTTCTGGGGTTGGCCAATGCTTCCATTGCATTCTCTGGGAGTTGCTCTGGTCAACGCTCTTTCGACGGCCGAGACGAATTTCGTGGCGCCGGGTGGTGTTGACCGGTGCTCCCCCGTGGAGACTGTAGACATATCAATGCAAGACAACCAATACGCCAGTCCCTCGGTAGCCATTTTCAAGTCGTTTAAGATGTTCTGGTGGTTCGGGAGTACTTCTACAGAGTTATCATTTGACACATCCAAGAACGAGGCCCAGAGACATTTGTAAATTGGAGTTTCCCAGTACAGATGATCCGGGCAGTGATCCGGGCATATCCAAGCCATTTGCTGGCTCCGTGCTACAGGTGGACTGGCCCTTCTATGTTTGGGAGAGAAACTTCACAGGCAGAACTTTGGGAGTTCGAAGTTTTGGTTTGCATTTTGGACATTCAAAGCTGTCGCCCTGACGACCAAAGGCATTGATGTTAATAGTAAGGAAGAGCGGCACTGGAGTTTTTTGTTCCTGCTTTTTCATCACACACTTTCCGCTCATGTCCTAAGTCGAGGAACAAGAAAACGCCGGCACAGCTCCGGAAACCGACGGCACTAGCATGATTCTATAATGTTATGTTTGTATTATATTACTGTAGTATATGTAATATTATTCTGCTGCCAAAGTGCACGCGGTGGTGACTTGTAGTTCGTGAAGAATTCAAACTCCGGTAGACCTTGCATAGCAGGCATAGCATGCTTCTTTCTTTATTTTTTTTATGTATGTCTTTCTTTGTTTATTTCGTCTGTCCTGTCTGTCCTGTCTGTCCTGCCTGCCTGTCCTGTCCTGTCCTGTCCTGTCTGTCTGTCTGTCTGTCTGTCAATGAGCATAAAGCATAAAAGCGCGTAGCACGCATGGACAGCAGCAGGTCTTTGACCCCAAAGCTGAATTTATCCCGCCGGATTAAAGGCGGCAGCCGGCGCAACGAACCTGGATCAAGTATTCCAAGGGAGCCTCTGCCGACAAGTGGATTCTTTGCGAACAGGTCCATGTCAGGCAGGCTTTGCTGAAGGACGACATCCATGCCTTGGGCGACTGCAGAGTTGGGGTGGGTATTCCTTCAGCTGTCAAGTCTGGAAACCTGTCGGCTGGACCGACGTCGGGTCACGCACCGAGCTCCACGCGAACAGTTCGGCGCAGCGAACAACTGGTGCACCAAAAAGGCCCCTGATCGTCGGGTGAATTCAGGATGCTCCCCAAATCCATGGCACACGGCCAAAAGTAAGTGCAATGTATAGACCCTAGGGCTCCAACCATACCCTTAGAAGGTGGTTAACCCCCCAAAACCACCCCAACCATCTTCTCAGGAGGTAGTTGGAGCCCGATAGGGAGAGCAGGGCTGAACCAGTGGTGCAGCAGTGGTGCAGTGCACGAGCTCCAAGCACTTCCCCTGGTTCCGTCCTGGTTCTCTCCTGTGGAAGACGCTTTGATCGGCGAAAAACGGCCGACACCCAGGGGCAAGAAAATCAGCGGGCCAGGGATGGCTAGCGAACTTTGATTGGCAGCAATGCGCGCGATAGTGGACTTTGAGGCTTCAAGGTGGTCTCCCTTCCGGAACCCCGCCTGAGGGAAGCATCAGGGTCAGAATGCTCGCCCTTCAAGCGCGTGAAAACATGGGGCAATGAAGCCCACAGGTCCTGAGAGTCGATCATACCTGGTTCTGGCCGGCTGAGCTAGAAGTGGTATCCAGATGAAACATGGGGCAGACCTGGGATTTCATGTCAGACCGCTTTACCGCCTGACCTTGTTATACACCATTATACGCCATTGTACACCATTTTCGATGTTCATTTTGTACTGTTTCAAATATCTGCACTATACTGCACATTATTGCAATATAATGAACTTATCTAACATTTATTATTCAATATTCATGCCCATGTTACAATGTTGAAATGGATAGACAAACATCTGAAACACACATTCAGGGTATCAGCAGCCATGGCCCTGGCAGTTTTGCATCCAAGCCCATCTCCCTTGATGCTTGCGGACCTTTTGCCACCGGCACCGTGTTGACCAGGTGATCGTCATGGCTTGTTGGAAGACTTCGCGACCCCCAAAGTGGCGAAGCACAGCGATAACTGTCGATACGTTCTCTTTCCGGAGCTGGAAGGATGATCCGGGCCCATCAAGTGTGGCCACCATTTGATTCGCTACAAAGCTATATTACTACCGAACATGAAGTAGATGGTTTTCCGTGATTTTGGTACATGAACACTACCAAAGAAGGAGTCCGGAACTTGGACGGTGGTGGAGTGGTGGTCCAACGGGGGAAGATCACAATGTGGTTTTGTGGTTTGCTTTTCTCATTCGCAAGGAAAGGACCATGTGAGCCAGGACAGGACATTCTGATATGGGAGGTCATGCATGCATAAATGCATAGCTGCATAGTTAATAAATTAAGTCCTACTACTGTAGCGGCTAGGATGGCCGCTTTGCTCGACCTCAATGAATCCTGAGAAACGAACACGAGCTAAGAACTTGTGGCGTGAGTGACCTTCTGGCATACAGTATCCAAGACAAAATGGGCTCGCCCGATTGAACATCGTATTTATATAAATGTATAGGTACCCAGCTCTTGCAGCTCTTGGTGAAGTAAGGTGCTAACTATACCTTAACCCTCCAAAACACTTCCAGAATGGTAGCTGCCCAGTGCCCGCTTTCGGAATACTGACGGTTCCGACCCCCCAAGAAAAGGAATCGGGTCCTTTTCAAAAGGAGTGAAACCAGTAGATCCATTTCAAATGCATTTCCAAGCCGAGAATTGGGGATCCATACGCTTTTGAATGGAAAACACGAGGACTCTGACAACACCCTTTTGACCTTTTCACCTCTACAAAGCTCTCTGAGTCCGTGCATCGGTCCGATGTTGCCCTCATGATCGGTCAGGGCATGACATCATCGGTCTGTTATTTGAGTGCTTTCTTATGCTTTCTTGCACACCTCCCCACCTAGCTTGCCCACCTCCAGATGTTTGTTGACCCCTCCCCGACCATCCGGATGGATGTCTGCACCAAGGTCATGGGTGAGGATCTTTACGACCTCAGTCCAGAGGTGCAGAACGACCGGATCCGCGGCCGGTGCAGAGGTGAAAGAGATGGGTGTTCACGTTGACACCTCAGTGGAAACCCGGCAGAAGGACCACCCCGACGATGACTAGATGGGGTTCCATATAAACCACCAAGCTTGGGAATTGTGCACTCGTTTGGACAAGGATTCTGTTGTACAGTAGAAGAGTCGTTTTTTGGATGTGCCGACTCAGGTCTGGCCAGGGCAGGAGGGATGCTGTGGTTGTTTTTTGGATCGGTTCAAAAACACCTCTGCCATCCTTTGCCTAGTTGTGAACCATGTGCTGAGAAAGCACAGGTAGGCTGAGCAAAAGAGGTTGCAAGACCCGTGGTTGCAAGCACATGCTTAGCATGCCATCAGACTTGGCCATAGTGTAGCGGCCATTTGTTGAGTGTCGGACAATACCTTTGTTTTTCCAGATGCACAGAACGGCTTCTGTCTTAATTTCAATTGGCGTTCTTGAGCAGCGCCACATGGTTGAGACTTCTTAGTTGGTCTTGGGCGTCAAGGAAGCCTTGTGAGCAGCGTGACACCCGAACTGGTCCAGAAATTGCATGGCAGATACCGCATCGCATTCAACCTCGCACGCCTCAAGGGTTTCCGCGACAAGCAATGACAGCAATGATGAGCAACAATGGCCTAGTTCTTTTGCGGCAGAAGTAAAAGGACAGGAATAGAGTCATAGAGATGAATAGAGTCTTTAAAGCCCAAAGACAGCTTGCTCTATGTGCTTGCTCCATAGGGCAAGGCGGGGCAACACGTGGCAAGGTAATTATTTGCTTTGGATTGTAGAGTATTTCTGGAGACAAGCTGCGCATGACATGCAGACAAGCTCAGTAGGCCCTGCAAAACTTGACCACAGAAGCAGACACTGCACCATCTACTTGAAGCAGGCTGCGGAATCGAATCCGAGAAATTAGACTGGACGACGTAAAAGCCCACCGAGATCAGACACATTCAAGAATGATCAAGAATGGGAAAAATCTAGGAACCAAATCATTAGTGCATGAGCTATCCTGCGTCCAGTATCTTGTAGCTTAAAGTAGCTATAAATTATGTTCCTACTGCTAGGAGCTTATATACTCCCTTTGTTTAAATAGGTGCCTACTTAATGAAGTAAGGATGCAGGGCCTGATCAATGTTTGGCCACTGTTCGGCGCTCCAGGTTTTTTCAGGTCGACCTAAAGTGGCAGCACCTAGTGGTAACAAAGACCTCATTCCCTATATCGCACCTAGAGCACCATGAGAGCTCCCTATATTCCCTGAAGACGGGCTTTTCCCTTGAGCGGTTTGATTTTTCTCCTGCAACATGATGGAGCAGTGAGATGTGAGATGTCGTTGGAAACTCGGGCGGTGAGGCAGGGGGGGATGTTTTGGGCAAAGCCAATGGCGCCAAGGTCGTCGGTGTGGCTCAGTTCTTGAAGGTCTTAGTGAGAGGGTCCGAAGCAAAAGCTGACCCCACCCGCGGCGGAAGCAGGGAATGCAACCACCTCAGACAGGGGGCCCAGCACAGATGTGGGTCATCCGGTATGTGAAAACCCAATGATGGAGTACAGCTGTGAGTTGAAACCGACGGGTATTGATGGTTTGGACTTCATACCCTCCGAAAACCTCGAGGATTGCAATCGCTATCACTGATTGACAGCTTCTGGCCTATATACCTCTCCTTCGGCAAGTTCAACAAAAAGCACCATCAACCACCCTTAACCACCCCCAAGCCCTTTGAAAATTTTGAAATGGATATCACCTCCCACCAACCCCACCAGTCCTGACTGAGGTCCAGTGGCGCCGTTTCGCGCCCGGGGGAGTGGCCGGGGCCGGGGGTAGACTTGTGGTACTGACCAATGTATGTACTTTGACCACTCACGCGCAGTGAAGGTTTGTGTGCCTCGAGGGATCCAAGGGTCTTCTTCATGTGCCGCACTGAGGCTAATGAGCTAAGCTCGTTCACCTTTCAATGTCCAGAACCCAGACACAGTCTACAATGGCTGACACGGGGCGGTAGTTTTTTTGATCCTGAAAGAGTGCAACTAACAAACACGGTTGCTTTTTGATGAATCACTAGTAAGTAGATGTAACTAGTATTTCAGGTAGAGGTCCCGTATCAACGTGCTCCCCTGCACCAGTAAATAGACCCTGGAAGGTTCCTCTGCAAACATATGCAAACCAACTTGACAATCTTTGACATCTCAGTCTCCAGGCATTGGCCCACTCATCTTTTTTTTGCAAGTGATCGTGTTTTCAAGGACTCGAGATGACTGCCCATTCCGCCGAAAGCATGCTCCGAAAGCAGAGATGAGCATGCCGCAGGGGTTGACAAGGATTGGATTTCTGGTGAAACCAGAGAACCCTGGACCCTGTCCTCCCCCAAGTATCGGCCCCTAAACCGGTTTGAACGGGGAAGAAAAGACACCTTTGCAGCCTCCATCTTCTCAGTCTCAGGCCCGGATGAGGTGGTGCAGCGCTTGGCGCGGCTCTACGGCGATGAGCGTCACTCGGACGTCACCTTCCTGGTGCAAAGCAACCAGGCGGGATCGCGGCCGCGATGAGCGCCACCGGGTCGGAGAAGGTGCGAGGCTGAACGCCACCCCAAGCTGTTTTTGGTCTTCGATCCAAGGAATTGATGGGTGCGAACCAGCAAGACCATCACCAGACATCACCAGACCATCATGATCCATCATGTATTATGTTTTTTGTTCAGGTGAAGTGACCTGCAAGTCCTTGCCAAGGGAGCCAGAACAACGGAAAGCATGCATGCAATTTTGTTGTTGTTGTTGCTCGTGTGTCCACGAGTCTTCAAAATTGTATGCAAAATCCTCCCATGGAATGCTGATATTGCTTGTTCCTTATTTACGCATGTTTGGCATCACTCGACAGTCATCTAAGCAAAGGCATGGAAGTTGACACTACACCGCATAAACAGTCAGGGAAGAGAATCGAAAGAACCCCAACATATGAACTCAACCACTTCACTGAAGTATGGTTTACTGTTTAGTGGTTTAGTATGGTTTCGTGGAATACTAAACAGGGATAGGGGTGCCATCTCCACTGCTCCAACCACCCGGGCTCCGAAGCCGAAGCCGACAGGACACGGCTCCGCAACGCTTCGTGGCCCATCGAAGCCGGGACACCGAGCGTGGGGGGGTCTATCTATGTGAGGGGTCCTTCCGTACTGTGCACTTTGTTGCTTTCTAAGCCATGTCCTTCCGCATCATGCTTCACACCGTCAAAAACCTCCATCGTCTTCCCATGTTCCGAGCCCTGAGGCATCATCGCCATGTGGTCCGAGCCCTTGGGATCGATGCTCTGTGGCCCCTTCGCCGAAGGCAGCGCCAAGGAGGCGGAACGGGAGTGAAACACCTGATCCTTGAAACAGGGCGGCTGGAGCTGTAGAAAGCAAAGAGTGAAAGCAAGGTAGGCAAAGACAGGCACAGATGTTTGACCGCCAGTGAACTTGTATGAACTTGTCCTTATAGGATTAAGGCTCACTTGTTGCTACAGTATATTATTTCAATGATGCCATGCGAGAAGCTATGCGCAACCTGCATCGAACAAAGCAAGAGAACCAAAACCATCGGGGCAGGCGGTCGAATCTTGAAGTCGTACGTCAAAGGAGCAAGGGTCAAAACCCGCCTAGTTGTGACATGAAAGCGCCTTGTCATAAAGCTTTCTCGAGTAAGCAGACGACTGAGTCGCGTAAGCTCGCGTAAGCAGATTTTTCAGAATCCATATTGCGTAAGCAAAGTCGAAAAAGTTGAACACCTGTTTGGAATGCTGAGTTGCAGTCGGTTGCATTTATTCAAGAGCCAATCTGTTGCTCTTTTGTCGGTGGGCCTACCAAGATGCAGGGCACAGGTTCCTAATAGCTGCAGCATTTTGGTCGGACAGATTAGATTGATAAAGAGGCACATTCAAATGTTGACAGGTGAATGTGCACAGTCAAAGGCAACATGTATTTTTGACAAGTTGTCAAAAGATTAGCTTGTGCTTTGCCAGGGGATGGCGGGACAATAAGCAAAACCATTATATAGTATCAACGTATTGGGTAGGGTTGTGTTTCGCAAGGTCACCGGCCAAAGGGCAAAGTTTATCAAACATAAATGCAACTTTCACAGAGATGCAGGGCAATCCGCGTAAGCCGCACGTATGCCGCGCGTATGCTCCGCGTAAGCTCCGCGTAAGCCTACTTTGTGTTTGTGAGATACTTTCCCATCATGCCTCCGAAAGCAACACCTTTCTTTAAGCTGCAATGGCGACAAAGACAGCCAGTCCAGCAAACTATTTCTGATACCTTCCCATCACATTGCCTGGCACTATCAGAAGCTGCAGCTTCGTTTGCAGCGCGTAAGCTTCAAACAAGTCCCTGTCCCTCGCGTAAGATAGAGCCTGAGGCGCGTAAGCGTTGCGGAAGTGCATGCGTAAGCAAATCCTTACGGCATAGGCCCATTGTATGACCTTTTGACCGCCGCTCAAAGGGACTCTACGCTACTGGTAGAAAAGCTGTAGAATCAGGCGTGTTCCTTTCGGAGCACATAGCTTTTGTGGCTTTTGCACGCTGGCTGGTTTGTTGACAAATGGTCGGGGGAACTTCAATGCCATCAGGGGGCACAACGTGACCAACACATCGGGGAACATGACCGATCTGGCACAAATGGCATGTCTGACATTCTAACATATTCTGACCTGCATGCGTGTTCAGGTCTTTGCCAATGTGGGTGTGTGCCCAAAAAGAGGAGACCCGTGGCAAAGCCTTCAGGTCGGGGGGACCTTCAGCTCTTCATCCCCCGACCGAAGCGCGCTCGGCCCGAAGCCGGGTCGCGTCGGTCGGGGGTCTCAGCGTCGGTCAGGTGAAGCTCTTGGATGTGGAGCCCGCCGCCTTCGAGGTTCTTCTGCCCGGGGCGCCCAGCTGGCCGGCCTGGTGCTTGGGAATTGGCAGAGAACATGGCATGTGTATGCATGTGTCTCCTTTTGTTGTTTGTTGTTTTTTGGACTAATAGAAAATATGTAAGAAGAATGTCCTGCTTTGACGAGTTCATGTTGGGGGAAGAGGTGGTGTGATTTGCGTAGTCTTTGGCAGTGTCCGAGTTTTGTGATATGTCGAAAGCTGGCTTCTGTGAACATGTATCCATTTAGGTCTTTTTATACAATTCGAAACGCGCGCCAACCATTGAATCGCCAACTCACCTACTCTTCCTTCACAAGATGCTCACCAACCCATCGCTACATCTGGACGGGGTCTTTGCTTGGTGAGTGC